GACAAAGAGGCACCTTAAAGACCGACAAGTTTCATTTGGCGTAACCTTTCATGGACTGCAGCCCACTACATCAGTTGTGGTGCCACTAGTACTATGATTTTATTTTAAGAATCTTTTGTAAGTTGCTTTGAGCTTAAGAGAGCAATAAACTGGGAAGTAAGTATAATAAATACAAAGTGGCAAAGGAATAAATATTAGTCAAATAATCTTTCTTTACTCAACAGGTTACAACAATTTCTCAAGTTCATGAAACACACACATTTAGACTTCCATCAGCCTCAGCCCCACACATCCAAGTGAATTATTACTACAAACCAGGAAATTTTCCTCTTTGTTGCTGAACATCAAGTACTCCACTCCACTTCTTGCTATTATAGGTCAAGCATTACTGACATAAACCCTAACTGTTCCAGTTTGGTAGGGACAGTTCTGATTAATCTTCTGGCATCCCACTTTCTCACTTGCCTTTACAATGTCCTGGTTTCTTTCTCTTCCTCCCACTTTTTCCCTTTGTCTTAGGCTTACTCCAGTTGCTGAAAACTGAGTTCAAAACGCAAAAATAGTTTTCACTCCATTAAATCAGCATGGGGGAGGTGAAAGGGGGGGAGAAATTTGACCTCCCCAGTAGGCGCAGGCAAAAGAAAAATGCTGCAACTTCCCCTAGCTTATCTGTTCTTCCTCATTAATCACTTGTGCCATCTTGACCACACTATGATGCTATTTGGCCACACATATCCCAGTTTGCATCTGTGAAATGTTGGAGGTATGGGATGATGTATTCTCCTTTTGACGCTCAGAGTCAGGGCACATCTGCACACAACAGACAGTAACAAAAGACAGTCTCAGTGCAGCTCTCCAAAACTGGTGCACAAGTGTTGTCTAAGAAACAAGGGTGGAACCTGAAATACTGAAAACGGTAGAGGTTGGGCATGTGGAATAGAAGGTACCTGGATACCAACATCTTTACCTTGTCATCCCCATATAAGTCTTCGTCACAGAACTAGTCTCTTGTATTTGTTATTGCTGTTGCAGTGTGCCTTCAAGTAATTTCTGACTTATGGTAACCCTAAGGTGGGGTTTTCTTGGCAAGATTTGTTCCATTTTTTACCATTGCCGTCCTCTGAGGCTGAGAGAGTATGACTTGCTCAAGATCACCCAGTGGGCTTACATGGCCTAGCTGGATTCGAACCCTGATCTCCAGAGTCATAGTACAATGCTCAAACCACTATACCATGCTGGCTTTTTTTAAAAAAACAAACAAACAAACAAACAAACAAAAAACAAACAAATATAATCTTGCAGTTTCACTTTCTTGCACATTCAGTTTTTTTTTTAAATCTTAAAATTCAAAATTGTAAATGTTGGTTAGTTCTTATTAGAAACAAACCTAATCAAATTTGTAACTATCTGCACTGGGCAAATTCAGTAGGTACAACTTGCTGTTGCAACTGCCCTGCAGCTGCTAAAAGTTGAAAAACCTGTCAGGAAAATCATGGTGGCAACCCGAATTCATCAACACAAACATAGCCAAATATGTTCAAACCGAGAACATAAAAGAACATAAAAGAAAAACAGTCAAAACCATGTCTTGATAAGCAAACCTGCCTATTGTCCCATTGTCATTTTAAATCATGTTTTATCACTATCAAAATTATGAAGAAATATGTGCATTTTAGAGTTTTCTTTATTAAACAGCCAAATGAAGCTCTCTATGGAGGTGGATTGGGAATAAGGGCATTGGCTTCCAAATAACAATTCTGCCCACTCTATGGACGTTATCTCACAGGGGCAAATCTGCTGGTTAATCCACACAAATCCCAAACAGAAACTGGATTTGTGCCTCGCGTTTTCACACGACATCGCACAGAAACTGGACAGAAAGTGGACAGAAACTGATGTTAACCGAGATCTTTTGAAATTCGGTTGTTTGGAGGAAATGCAAATGCAAAATTAAGGTAATTTCGCATTTACCGTAATGTGAAAAGCAAATGTGCATTTGGGAGCATTTCCCTGCTTTTCCCATGGTTCCAGCGAGCATTCCTCTATCTGCGCATTTCTAGTACATTTACAGGCTTTTCTCACTTGTGTGTGAACGTTAAATGTGCTTACGTTAATTTCGCAATTAAAGTAATTACGTGTGAAAGCCATTTGCGGAATCAAGGTTTATTTTCTGTTTATTTTCGGAATGCCTCATTTCAACTTTATTATCGCTTTCTGGCCCACGTGTGATAACGTCCTATGAAATATACCTTCAGTCCCCAGATTTTTAGCATTGCAGAGGATAAGATAAAATTATTCATACTTGGAACTTAAAATATTTTTTGTGTTCATATTCCAGTGGTAACTCTGCCTTTTCTTTGGTTGCCTAAACTGTATTTCTAAATAGTCGACTGACATTTTCAGTGACTGCAGTGCTAAGAAATTTGGGGGCTAAAGGAAAATATTATGGGAGCAGAATTCTTATTTGGGGGCAGCAGTGCCTTCATTTTGTCCTCCCTGTAGTTACAGCCTTGGCTCACACTCTTCCCCACTGTAACTGTTCTCAAAATTACTCATATTATTCCCATGATGCTCTTATTTCTACAGGCAACCCAGCCATCACCAAAAGCTCAGAGCAGCAGGGATATTCACTTCTGTGTCAGTGCCATGCAGTTCACAAGTGAGAAACCACCTCTTTCTGTCTAGATATTCCTACATAGATTCATGATAGCCTGCATCCAGACTGCAGAGATAATCCAGTCTGACACCACTTTAACTGCCATGGTTCACTGCTCTGGAATGTTAGTTTTGTAAGACATTTAGCCTTCTCTGTCTGAGAGCTCTGGTGCCACAACAAACTA